CTGGTTCACTTTTCTCCTCGTTCACCTCCAGCTGAAGTTCTGGTTCAGTTTTGTGATTAGGTCCAGGACCTGGTTCTTGAGTCTCCACAGGCTGGATCAGGGACTCTGTCAGAGCTGTGATCATCCTTGCTACCTCTCCTTGACCGTCCCCGGGCTGCAGGCAGCACGCCAAACTGAACGATCTGAAGGGTTTTAAGATCAGAGACATCCGTTAAAAAAAAAACAAAGAAGAAGAAGAACCCCTGCAGCCATACAGTCACATGACCTCATGATTAATTCCAACACCCGTGCTACGGTTTAAGAAGACGTTTGTTGTAAACATGCACCAGTAATCAGGACATGCTCTACAGAAACATTTAAAACTGTAAAATTCAAGTTAAAACTACATTTAGACTTCACATAAACATCAATCCTGAAATTAAAGGCGCCGGAGCTTCAGTTGTGGTTTTCTCTGCTCCGAGGCGGTAAAACTTTTAAAATCTGTTTAGATGACTGAGTTAAACTAAACAGCACTGATCGATTACTCTGGGTCAGTCATGTGACGCGGAGCCGACGGGACTGTAAACATCGAGACTCTGGGCTGAACAGGGTTTGATCTGAAGGTCACACAGAAAGCCAGAGTAGAAAATTGACCACGTAACGTTTATTACCTGTTACTAGGCCTGTCACAATAACTAATTTTGCTGGGCGATTAATTGTCTCAGAAATTATTGCAATAAACAATAATATTGTTTGAAATTCAACAATAATTAGTAATTATTGTCAAATTTAAGAAGAAATGTTGGTAATTTTTTGTGTGTAGTACCTTTTTTTACCACTGGATGGCAGTATAAGACAGTTTGAACCAAAGGATGGATAGTGAGAGAGCGAGCTGCGTGTCTCTAAGAAAAATGGGAGGGAGGCCTCTTGACGTGACATGGGCTATTTCTCGTTTCTGTTTTTCAGTTCTCAAAATGGCGGACGCTCGGTGTAGTTTGAGCTCTTTAGCATAGCATTTTTCACACAAAGCTTTTAATTTAAAAAAAAAAATCAGTAAACAAGTTCTCAGCTTCTTTTTGCAGAGAAAAACAACTTTTTACACGAAGGCGCAGGTTTCAACTGTGAATTTTGGAGCTTTGACAAGACGGAGGTTTCTTCCCCGAGGTCAGCCTGTTAGCTTAGATAGTAGCTTAGCTCGTAGCTTAGCTTCTCAGCTTAGCTGCTTTTAACAATCTAAGAACACAATTTTGGACGGTTAAAACAGATTTTAAAGAAAAGAGAAAGGGAGGGGTCAGTGAATAACACCTGAGTTTTTTATCATCCAGTGTCTTCAGGAGAAAGAGACACAAAGAGGCGATAAAGCGGATAAATGAAAATGAGGTGGATCATTTTCATTTATAATGCGATTAATTGATTTGTTTATTGTGACAGGCCTACCTGTTACCAGTATTAGCATAGTCTAAGCTAGCAGTAAACTGAGGTAACATTTATAAAAACAGTATCTGTAGTAGAGCTGTCATTTCTAACCCGTGCACGAATGTGCTGGATGGGCGGGTCGGTGTCGGGCTTTTGATTGCGTCAGCGGATGCTCGCGGCCGACGACCCAATTTGGATCACCGGCCGCGTGAGGCAGTTTGAAAGAGGTAAAAATAAAAAGTCCAGATGACTCACTGCCAGAGACTCACCTGAAGCTTACCTGGATTCAGCCGCTGCTGGATCATCAGCCGCGCGCATCCGCTGACCGTTAATAACTATAATCTTATAACTATAATAATCCACTGACTCTTGATAATAAACAAGACATCTTATCTCTTCCTTTCTTTGAAATACATTTAATAACATGTCAAAATGATTTGCTTACAAAAGCAGTAAAAGCTTAATAAAAAAACTAAGTTGTTTTATTTTCGGGTTCGGACCTGTAATCACAGTTTGATTGGTCGGTTTCGGGTCGGGATCGGAAAAAATTATACGGGTTTGGGCCGCGACGGATTCTTTAGCCCGAATGCAAATATAATCTGAAGTCAGATGTAAAAAAAAAAGTTTCAGTCAAGAGATTTGTTTTGTTTTTAATCCCTGAGCCTTAAATACACTTCAAGTGTCTCTTGCAAAGTCTGATGACGAGGAAGAGGAGAACGAGGAAGCTCCACTTCAGCAGCTCCTGAAAGAGTTTGCACATTCCAAGCAGTCCACAAAACGGCTGACTGACATTTGTATATAGTAAACTTTGTATGTAGTACAATTAGAGGTGGGTGATATGGCTCAAATAAAATATTGTGATATTTCAAAGCATTCTGACGATAACGATAAATTTTGTGATATAAAAAAACCAACCAGAAATCATAGTTATTCATTTGACAAAATTAACACGTTACTTTGCAGTATTATATAAACACTAAAAAACAACAATGGTTAATTTCACTGAAATTACTTTATAGTAAATTATTCAGTCTTAAAGTATAAAAATAAAAAATAAAAAAGACCCTTCTGTTATTCAGATGGAAAAATTCTGCACAAAATATAGATCAACACCATCCACCACAAAAACTAAAATGCAGGTGCAGTTTCGCAAAATAACTAAATAAAATGAAGTTTGCGATCTGCTGAGCATAAATGTAACATACAACTACATATATGTTGCCTTTAAATGAGCTATAACCTCCAGAACTTGTGACAAGGTGATCAGCTGACCCTGAAGCTTGTGGTGTTTCAGCTTCTTCTGTTCCTGCAGGAACGATCCATTTCTCTGATGCTCTGTCTTTGAATGCGCACAGCTAGCTTAGCGTTACGCCAGTACCGACAGGTGTGTGTGTGTGTGTGTGTGTGTGTGTGTGTGTGGGGGGGGGG